GGCGGGGGGCGCGGGGCCCGGTGGAGTTCGTAGCAGCCAACAACCGGAAAAAAAAAAATTAGGCGCTTCCGGAAGTCCCGCCCACGTGACAATCGGCCCGGCACGCCTTTCTAGATTTCCTCGCTTCACGACCCAGCGGGGACCGCTCTGCACTCTCGGGCTGCGTCTCTGTGGTTTTTCCGGAGTCTGTTGCCAGGGGCGACGAGCGCGCTTCTAGCTGCAGGCTGTGCTCGGGCGCCTTCTACCGCGTTCCCCGTGGAGAGGAGGGACAGGCCGACTTGGCCCCACGGAAGGAGCGCTGGCCCTGCTCAGAAACCAGCGATTATGTGATAAAGTCCCAATTCAATTGTGGGCGCATTCTAGGCCCCCCAACCCAGCCCCGTGGTCATCCCCAGTATCTCGCCATCCCCCCCTTAACCTTCCCGAGCTTCAGTTTCCCAGCTATGAAATGGGGATAGGAATGGCACCAGCTTCCTAGGAGGATTGTAAGCACGATAATGCAATTGGAAGGCTCAATAAGTGGCAGAAAAAAATCAATAAAATACATTAAAAAAAAAAAAAAGAATGGCACCCGCTTCCTAGGAGGATTGTAAGCACGATAATGCAATTGCAAGGCTCAATAAGTGGCAGGCTTTATATTTTACCCCTTTAATATTTCTTGAGAATCGGCAATGTATCAGCAATGAGAAAAACAGACAAAATTCTCTGACCTCGCAGAGCTCCTGTTTTTTTTCGATGGGATTGGGTAAGGACAGACAATATGATAAATAAAATCTGTGGTATGGTAGATGTTATGCACTGTGGGAAAAAAGTGGAAAGCAGGAATAGAGGAGGGCAGAGTGGGGGCAGTTTGCAACATCAAATAAGAGGGTCAGGCACAGGAAAAGGACAGTTTTGAGGCCACCACTGCCCCGTCCTGGTTGAGCATCGACCTATGAACCAGGAGGTCAAGGTCTGATTCCAGGTCAGGGCACAAGCGCGGGTTGCAGGCTGGATCTCCAGTGGGGGGCCTGTAGGAGGCAGCCAATCAAAGATTCTCCTTTGTCATTGATGTTTCTATCTCTCCTTTCCTCTCTGAAATCAATAAAAATATTTTTTAAAGAAAACTCCTTATCCTTAAGAGAGAGAGAGAGACACCACCACTGACATTTGAATGTGTCTGAACATTAGATGATATAAAGGAACTATGTACTGTTAATTTTGCTAAGGGTAATAAGGTCATGGTAGTTATGTTCAAGTATATTTTTGTAAGAGATGTAGTCTGAGGTATTTATGGGTGAAATGACATCTGAGATATGCTTTTAAATACTCCAGCAAAAAAATTATACAAACGTACTCACACATACACATACTTTAGGTAGGAATTATCATGGCTGTATTTTTTCCAAGTGGTAGAATAGGAGAGCAGTCATTCCCCAAACATTAACTGAGCACCTATTGTGTGTCAGGCCAGTAGAGTCATAGCAGGGAACAAGACAGGCAAGATCCTGCTCTTGAGGGGCTAACAGTCAAACGGAGACACAGCTATTAAACAAGTATATGGCACCAGATAGTGCTCACTTCTATTAAGAAAAATACAGTAGGAGAAAGGAATCAAGAGTTACGGGAGTCCTGTTTTAGATAGGCTAGTAAGGTCTGACATTTGAATAGGAACCCCTGAAAGAGACAAGGGACCAAACTACAGGTATATCTAGAGATCATTCCTGGCCGAAGGAAGAGCAAAGGGTCCTGAGATGACAGCTTCTTCAGGGAACATGGTGTCTGGAGTAGGGTGAGTGAAGGGTCTGAGAGTAGATTCTCTGCTAAAATCAAATAATGTGTGGTCTGATCATCCCCTCTATAAAATATTATAACCACCAGAAATTGTGAATATGGGAACTAAACAGCAGCAGTGATAATAGTAATTGCTGCATAACCAATTACCTCCCAATTTATAATAACAACATCTCATAATTTCTGTGCTCAAGACTCTCATGATGTTGCAGTCAAGCTGTTGGCTGGGGTTACGGTTTCACCTAAAGCAGTGGTTCTCAACCTTCTGGCCCTTTAAATACAGTTCCTCATGTTGTGACCCAACCACAAAATTATTTTCATTGCTACTTCATAACTGTAATGTTGCTACTGTTATGAATCATAATGTAAGTATCTGATATGCAGGATGGTCTTAGGCGACCCCTGAGAAAGGGTCGTTCAACCGCCAAAGGGGTCGCGACCCACAGGTTGAGAACCGCTGATTAAAGGCTTGTCTGAGGGAGAGTCTACTTCAAAGCTCACTCAAATGGTTGTTGGCAGGCCCCAGTTCCTTGCTGGATTTTTTTTTAAATCCTCATCCAAGGATATTTTTTTCCATTGATTTTTATTTTAAATATATTTCTTTATTGGTTTCAGAGAGGAAGGGAGAAGGAAAGAGAGATAGAAACATCAATGATGAGAGAGAATCATTGATCGGCTGCCTCCTGCACACCCCCACTGGGGATTGAGCCCACAACCCAGGCATGTGCCCTTGGCCGGAATCGAACCTGGGACCCTTCAGTCTGCAGGCCGACGCTCTATCCACTGAGCCAAGCCGGCTAGGGCTCCATTGATTTTTAGAGAGAGTGAAATTGAGGAAGGAAGGTGAGAGAGAGAGGAGAAACATCGATGTGAGAGAGACACATCAATTGGTTGCTTCCCGCTCATACCCCAAGACTGGGGTAGGGATCAAACCTGAAATGCAGGTACCTGCCCTCGACCAGAAATTGAACTCATGACCTTCCCCTGCACAGGCAGACACTCTAACGGTTAGAGTCTAACCACTGTGCACACCGGCCAGGGCTAACATAATATTTTTGAGGTTCATCCACATTACAGTGTGTGTTAGTGCATTTCCTTTCATTGTTGGGTAGTATTCATCAAAGGATATACAAGATTTGATTTATCCATTCAGCCATTGATGCACATCTGGGTTATTTCCTCCTTTGGGCTGTTATGAATAATGCTACTACTATGACTGTGAGTGTTGAAGTTTTTGTGTAAATATTTATTTTTCTTTCTCTTGGGTAAAGAGTGATTTGGGGTTCCATCACCTTTCTTTTTTTCTTTCTTCTATATTTTTAAATTTATTTCAGAGAGAAAGGGAGAGGGAGAGAGAGAGCTAGAAACTTCAATGATGAAAATCATTAATCAACTGCCTCCTGCACGACCTCAACTGGGGATTGAGCTCACAACCACAACCAGGGCATAGGCCCTGAACAAAATTGAACTGTGACCTCCTGGTTCATAGGTCAATGCTCAACCACTGAGCCACGCCGACAGGGCTGCTTTTCTTTTTTTGTTTTATTTTATTTATTTATTTATTTATGTATTTATTTATTTATATATTTATAGAAGCATTAATTTGTTGTTCCACTTATTGATGCACTCATTGGTTGATTCTTATATGTGCCCTGATCTGGGATGGAACCCAAAACCTTGGTGTATTGGGAGGACTCTCTAACCAACTCACATGCCTTTCTTGATTCAAAGAAACCTAGCAAGGCTGGATCCAGGGAGCCCCATTTGCCTATTTATTTTCTTCTTAAGCGTTTCAAGATATAGAAGACTTATCTGGAGAAGGGAAAGATGCAACAGAACATTGTTCCAACAACATCCCAGCCCCAGCCCCAGCCCTCCGTGTTTGTTGATGTCGAAGAGATGAACCCCTTAGAACGGAGGCAATTTAGGCAGCAGTACGCTGAGTAATGAGGCTGTGTTGATGAGGAAGTGAGCGGCATCACACTCAGTGTGGAAGCTGGCCAGGAGGTACAGAACAATAGGCACTGTGGGCAGAGGTAAACTGGAGGCAGCAGTCCACCAGTTCCC